AAATTTATAAAGTAATGCGTTATATTACTCGTTACTTAAGAAAAGTAATATTATTACGTAACGCACGTTACTTGTAACGCGTTACCCCCAACACTGTTCATGATAAATACAGGTGTGTGTAATCAGAAATAGTGGTATACGACAATGTGTGTTTCTGTATGCATGTTGGTGTGTAGATAAGGTGCATACCACAGTGTGTGTGTGTGTGTGTGTGTGTGTGTGTGTGTGTATATATATATATATATATGTTGAGGGATGGGGGACGTTGCATATAGATCAACACGTCCCCAAAATGTGGTAAAACCTGGAACTTCATTACTTTTGGGGACATTTTTCAGATCACCACTTGGATAGTAATATATTGTGTCTGTGTGTGTGTGTGTGTGTCTGTGTGTGTGTGTGTGTGTGTCTGTCTGTGTCTGTGTGTGTGTGTGTGTGTGTGTGTTCCCTACGATACACTGACATCAGAGATATCCCCTGCTTGTGATTCTAAACACTAAATGCAACCCATTTAAAATTAAACTATATTAAAAATACAATGGAATAGTGGACATGGAATAGTGGAGATGTCTTTAAGACATCCGGAAAAGAAAAAGTAACATTCATATCACAAAAAAATCTTTTAATGCCAATATATTATCACAACGATCATTTCCATTACAAACTAAAAAACTGAGACCGGTTCAAAAAATATCGGACAAAGTATTGTGCAAAACAGCACCACCCTTAGGTCGAAAAAGGGAACTTCAGTGAAGCGAAACTTTATCTGCCTCACTACGTACTTCTTATCAACACCTGTTTAGTAATTGATTGGTTAGTTAGAGATTGAGTCCACACGAGCTGGCGTTTAGGGCACGCGACTAGAGTGAAAAAGTTAGGAAAGTTGACAACAAAGAATGCTTGGTCTGCAGGGAGGTGACCTTGCATCGGTTTTACTTGTATTTCTATACTGCTTCTATTTCAGAAATGGATGCACCAGCATCGCACTGTAAGCATCAGCTCACCGAGCTAATAATCACGTAATGTTCGGGAATCAGGCTAAACAGGACTACACTGGACTGAAATTAGTAACCAAAGGAAATGTTTCGTTATAGTGCACTGAATATTTTAATATTTACTATAATGACTAATATACACTGTCAGAAAAAAGTACCAATTTGTACCTTTGAGGGTACAGTTACTTGTCACTGGGGTTGTACCCTCAAGGGTCTGCCAATTGTACCTCTTACCTGTAAGTAAATGTACCTTTTAAAGTAAAGATGTTTCATGTTGCTTGTACCATCAGGTGTAAAACTACACCAGGGCTATTCCCTTCTTTCTAACATTCATGATCAGGTCAGAAATTATATGGGGGGGGGAATGGGTTGCTTCAAAAAATTTGGTCACCAGCTGTCATTGGTTCTAATGCTTTTTAATGCAATCTCATGCTCATCTGTGACATGCAGCCTACCCAAACTGGTGATTCTCTGATGGCTGCAGCAAGGTTGTGGTAAATATATGATGTGAGAAGCAGAGGATGAGAAGGCATGCGGCCGCGCGGGGGAGTTTATGACTGTCCGAGCTGCAGCTGAGAATGTCCACTTTATTCGGGTCCTGGGAGAGAAACAGGAATGTGCTGAGCAACTGCACCTGCCCACTTTTGCCTGAACGACTGAAAGTGCCCACCTTTTATGGTTCTAGGTACCCCTCTTTCGATAACAGACGATCATGCAAAATTTTCCGAAGAACCCTGAAAGCATACATCGGGGCTCTTGCTCCCTACGCCACGCCTCTCCCCGTTCGAGTACCCAACCCCTCATGGGCGGAGTTTGGTGAGGGGGCGGCAACAAGCAGTGCCTCCCCAGTCGCCAGCATCGAGCTGTGTTCTGTGTTCTGTGCTGGTACTTTGCACCTTTGCATTAGCGGTTTGTTGGTACCCTATAGGTAGACAAAATTACAGATTATGTGTGCATCAGCTACGTGCGTTAACATGTAAAGTCAGCAGGATGTGGGTTTTTTGCCACGCCCCCCAAAGTGCAAACATCAAACTCCGCCTATGCTACCCCTCTACACGCAGCAGTGCACGTATGCATAAATTACTTCCATGTTACTACAGAAAGTCGTTCAGAGAGTTTGCTCCCAGTGCTTATCCACCATCCACCGCTACGAAGTGTTTAAGCATAAAAGTGGATCAGATTTTCTGTATCTGCATATATTGTAGTACCTGGTCAATTTGTTTGTAATTTTATTAACCAATGACTGACTTATGATAGTAAATGTATTAACACCACTGGACATATTATTGAACGAACTCCTTTATATTTTTTCCAGATAATGAGCCTCAAGTAAATCTATGAGCTCCCTACAGTTCAGTGGTGAACTAGACAAATGTGTGTTACGTTCAAAGGATGCGGAATGTGAACATTAAATTGACATTAAATTGACACGTATTTTGTTTCAGGGACTTGGGCGTCTTTGCACTGGCGCTGCGCAAATGTACCAGTTCTGAATCATTTGAAGGTTTGATGCCACCCTGTGTTGGATGGATGGTACTACACATGGTCCACGGGTCCGTCCATTTTGATTCAGCTATTTCATCGACATGGCGGAGGTGGATGAGAGAAACCATCAAACACAGATCACAGAAAGTCAAGTCTTTTTTTTCATACAGCGTTTTTTTCACAGTCAGATTCTGAAACTACACGTTTTTGTTTAATGAATGCAATGTGATGTCAGTGTGGTGTTGGTTAACCTGCAGTGTTACCGGACGGAAATCATGTCATATAGGTACGGTAGTTTCTGTTAGTTATCCTGTAATATAAAATCACAACCAGCAACACCACGTTAAACGATCAGTAAGCTTTCATTAGATAGTCAGATGTCCTGGAGTAACATTTGAAGAACCACGTTACAACTTAGTTTAGTAGTTATGAGATCCAATTATCAATCAAACTAGTACGTGTAATTCTGCATACTTGTTATTAATCTGTGAATACATATTCAGCATCTATGTTAACATCTACACAGCAAACCAGGATGGGGTGATGTCTCTTAATTGCCATCTTTAACATTTCGGGTAACCGTTTGAAAAATAAACTGAAGATCCACAATAAATTGCTTTAATGTGATTTTAAAGCATCTAGAGCTCAAAACAGTAGACGATGCGCGATGTTCAAGTATGAGATTAAAACGCGCTTCTGTGTTGTGTCTGATTCATGTCCTGTACGTGCGTGTGATATGAAATCAGCTGGCCATACGTTGTCACAGTGTATAATGTTGACGATAATGCAAATATATGAAAAGCAGTTTAATAACAGCAACGTTACATTAATATGTCAAAATTTTCTTCGGGTTTGTACGGGTCGAGAATACGAAGCACAGGCAGCAGGACCAGCGACGCGCGCCTGTTCCTCCTATCTGAACCACCTGATCACACAGCCTGCGTTTTATCACTGGTGATGAATGCAAAAGACACATAACTTGCTTTTTTTTAAAATTGATTTTTTTTTATTTCACAAGTTCTATTTCCATACAGGTCTTAAGGCATCTGCACAAACCACATTTTGCAGAAGTTAAAAAATCATTTTCTTCAGATGGCAGCCCAGTATAACTGTTTTTTAAAGTTCTTTCTCTCTTTAAATAATTCATATTGTTGCTTAATTTATTCCTTAGATTTATTCCAATGGTCAGAAATATCGATTAAATATGTACATAGATAAACACCACTGATACAACAGGTTGCACGTCACAAAATTGTAAGGATCACAGCGAGTGGCAGCACCAGACACACCTATTTACAGGTCCCTAATGTGGCACGCCATCCTGACGACGATTGTGGCTTTGTTCAGGTGGCTAGGAGGGAATGGGACTGTTCTCTGGCAGTGTGTGTGTATGTGTGTGTGTGTGTGTGTGTGGCTTGTGTGCACCTCCTGCTGATGGGTTCTACTCTAGGACCTTCATGCGGAACGTCACGCGGCCCAGGAACTTGTCGCGGTCGTCGTTGTTGCGCAGGTCGCTGCCTTCCACCTTGCACTCCACCACCAGCTCCGTGTTGTAGTCCTGCTTGGTCAGGAGCAGCTTCACCGCCACCAGGGGCTGGACGTAGCTTGGCTGCGGGGGACACGGGCACTCAGCTCACTCGCGTCACAAGCTCTTCCTGGGCGTGGCCAAAAATCGCCGAAGAGAGCTACTTACGTGAGCCTTCTTGCCATAGTAGGGGAAGTACATCTTATCGAACCTGCCCTCTGCTGGGAAATACTGCATCTGCACTGCGGAGTCTCTCTGCGGAGGAGAAGGGGTAACAGCAGAGGGCTCGTGTGACACGTCCAAAAGCAGTTTGGAAGCGATTTAATCATAGAGGACCTTAGGAAGGCAGATACTGACTCCATCTTTGCTGAGATCACATATATCATACTACTCCAGTTTGATGGTAAATATATATACTGAGATGCAGATGGGACATTTAATATCAATACATCTACAGAACTGCAGAATAAGAACCGGAAGATGGTGCGAGTTTCAGCTAGGCTTTGAGGTCAAAGGTCGTGTGTGTGTCTGTGTGGATTAGGTTTCTATTACATTGTGGCGGGCCACATGTCCCCCACAATGTAGTAAAGACCTGTTATTTTCACATTGTGGGGACCATTTCTCAGAACCCCCAAAAAGATCTTTGAATGCAATCAAAAAAGTAAAAATGCCAAATACTGGGAAAATACTTATGGTTAAGGTTACGGCTGGGTTCGGGTTAAGGTCATCATGTTGGGATTAGAGTTTTCCCCTTTGAAATGAATGGAGAGTCCCCACAAAGATATAATTACAAACCTGTGTGTGTGTGTGTGTGTGTACACCCAGCAGCATGGTTGACAAATAAAAATGTAGACATACAAGCAAAGAACAAACCAGACCTTACACACACATCAAAATACCAGACAGGACAACAGCGAACATCTCACATCCATGTAATGTTATTTTATCATACATAAATGTAACTATTGAGTACATCCACACATTTGTTGGAGGGAGAGGGGCGTATGTATTTGGTACAGAGCATATGTGTGCATGTGTGTGATCCTGCATACCTTTGCAGTGCAGTTAATGTATGGATCACCTCGTGGCTTCAAACCAATGATCTGCAGAGAGAGAAAATTGCAGAGAGATATTTCTGTCAGTATAGGGGCGGCACAGTGGCTTCGCACCTCCAAGGTTGTGGGTTCAAATCCTGCTTTTGCTCTGTGTGTTTCCCTCACAGTCCACCACACTCCATGGCCTCACAGTTGTAGTGACAGGACAGACAAGGCAGGCAATGGCCTGGGGCCCCAAGCTGGAAGGGGGCCCCTGAGGGCAGCCATTTACATAGCACTTTGCAACGACAAATCTGCTTTATTTGTGTATTCTGTTTTTAGCAAATAAAAATAAAAGATTTGTGTTTAATTTAGACGATGCTAAAATAATAGTAATACATTTTACTATGTAGGGGGAGGGAGAGTTAAAGGGCCTCATGGAGTTTGTTTAGGGCCCCCAAGTGCCTGGTAACAGTGCTTTGTGTGTAGAATGAGCAGGTGTTTCACTGTTGGAGGCCAGTTGATAATGAGGTTCTCCCCCCACAAAGGTCCCTCAAGGAGCACCAAAGCCCTAACGCTGCATCTGCCTGTGTGCTGGACTGCTACCATGTCCCACGTTCCCCAATCAGCCTGATCTCATGACTCTTCTGATGAATGAAGCGGAACAGAGAGGGCCACAGCTAGGGATGACCATGCGAACAGGTGCTCTGAGACATGCATGACCTCCAGCAGATCTCATGTGGCTGGGGAAGAACCGCAGATATACACTGAACTGAGTTGGAGACTAGAGGAATGACTGACCCTATTCATCTTGACCAGGATGCAGGGTTTTCCTTCAGAGTAGCCGAAGCTGGTGTCCGACAGGCCCGAGCACTGTCTCAACGTGCTGCGTTTGAACTGGCAGACCTTCTTCTCCTCCTCGGCGTCCTGCTCAAAGTACTCACCAAGCTGGCACACCTCATTCTTCTCCTGCGCCGTGTCGTTGTACTCTGGGGGAGGGAGGTGCACAGGAGCAGAGAGAGAGAGACGTGCCCGTCACGCACGCAGTGCGTCGCCCGAGACGTGCATTCACTGTCACAACGGCCATACACAGCAAAGCTCACCCTCACGTGCCCTGCTGAAATGTGTCTGGATAGTAAATACCTACCTCAGAAACCCGCGTGCAGAACTGCACTGGATGCCTGTGCCCAGACCTGGGTAAGATGGAGGTTCTTTGCTGAAGTGTCTGCGATGCAGTGGAGAGTCTGTGATGCAGTGGAGAGTCGGTGCTTGGGTATCTGCGATGCAGTGAGTATTCTCTGCTAGAGTGTCTGTGATACAGTGGGGGTTCTGTACTGAAGTGTCTGTGATGCAGTGGAAGGGGGTATGCTGGGGTGTCCGTGCTGCAGTGTCTGTGGTGCAGTGGGAGGGTGTCAACGTCACGGAAGGGCTTACGCTGCAAGAAAGACTCCAGATTATTGACATACTGATTGTAGCTGCTCTGGACTGTCCGGTTGAAGACGATCTCCATGGATTTGGGCCGGATCACCAGCCCTGGGAGGCAGAGAAAGTCCCAGCAGAGGATTACTGATGTGATTCATTTCACCCTCCTTTCAATCCTTTATCTTTTCTGCAAGCCATAACACTACCTGGATTGGCCACTCGGTCCCGGTACCGTGGAGTGTGGTCATCCAGCGTCTGCAGCATGATCCACATTGTCAGGCTGAACATCCCAGCCAGGAAGCCATAGAACACCAGGTAGAACAGGAGGATGAGAGCTGGAGAGCAAATGAGAGAGCTAACACCTCATCTCGGAACGCTTCCCTATTCCTGGATGACAAACAAAAGCTTACTGCAGGCTGATGACCCAGTTCTTTCGGGTACCACCTTGCAGACCAAGTTAGATACAAAAACTGGAAAGAGGAAGGAATGTACAGAATCATTGCCCAAAAGTTTCCTCCAAGCTAATCAACAAGTCATTCATCATTCATCTTCCTAGCCAGTCAATCATGTGACCTAGCAGAGTCCATCATACCACCAACTAGTCAATCAGCACTCAAATTCAAATTAAAAAAACTTTATTTGTCCCCGAGGGGCAATTAAGGCACACAGGGCAGTTGGACAGGGACACAGTGACGTAAAGTGCAACAGTGAATACAGTGTTTAGAAGGTTCTGTGCAAAATTGTGGTCAATCAGGTAGATGGGAACTGAATAAATATGTAAAAAAGAGGGATTGTTAGTCAAGTGCAGAATGA